ACATGGTTATTGGTTACTATAGTTAAACCATGGTAAAAACAACATGTTTTGCTACACTAGCAATAGTTTAACCATGGTATTAGTAGTAAAACTGTGGTTATAGGCTACAATTGGTAATAAAAACGCCCCCAAAAAAAAAACATGGTTAGCCTCCTATACTTTTACTATAGTAATACCATTGCTAATTTTCGTAAGGGATTGTGTATAATAATATGAAATAAATGTTTTAGTAGATTATGACATCACAAAATATCAGGAAGTGAGATTTATTTGATTGTGATGCGAAGGAGGGTTACTGTAAACCCCATCAGAAATGGCTTGCGGTGCAGGGGGACGGGACTAATGACAGATCATTGCAGGGTAAGTAGTGTAGCCTATCTGTGCTACCTGCTCAGTGCTACCTCCGGTAGTCTGTCTGTCTATTAGTCATATACATCTTCAGATCAGGTTTTTTTTAAATTATTAGAGGTACAGAACGCCACACAGCAACTTTTCGGCATTGCACCAAGCAAAAATCAATCGAAATCATCACAAAATGTAAAGATCAAGCGCCTAACAAGGTCTCTGCGCGTTAATTCAAATGGTTTGTTTTCCCCCACGGCATAATCGGTTATGACGTTTTTGTGGGCGTTCCCAGAGAACAAGAAAAAAGTGATTATTATCATTTTTGTGACACAGAAGGCCCCCTGTGAATTTCAGATGGGTCTTTTACAATGACAGTTTGCAATTTATGAGTAACATTTTAACATCACATAAAGAGACATTTTATTCTACAAAAAATCATACATTAAAAGTACCTAAAAGTTTTTATAGACCACAGAATTTTAATTTTATATGTTCTGTGCCAAAATAATGATTAGATTCTACATTTACACATATACATCTTAATAACAGCACATAAACATCATGAAGTAGCTTACTAAAACTAGTCATGCCATCAGGTGAGGAACGCCCTAGGCTACGTTTACACACCAACGATGTAGTCAAAAACGGAAAAGTTTTTCCCTTGCGTTTTAAAAAAGTTTCACGTATACACGACAACGTTTCCAAAAACGTCAGCATCTCCGCTGTTGGTTGTAATATCGGTGAAGTAAATCCACACTGCTGAAGAAGCGATCTTGAGCAGCAACAACAATACCATGTACTGCGCCATTGTTGTGTATGTTTGTTCGCGCTTGCCTTTAAAATCGACACGTACTACGCATGTCTACATACCTAACACGTACTACGCACGCGCATAACGTCACCATTTTCAAAGATTCTCGTTTTGGGTGTTTACATGGAAACGATAATGGTGGCGTTTTCAAAAACTTGCACTTTGAAACACATTTTCAAAAATATGCATTTTCAGTCCCCAAAACGCCGTTGTCGTGTAAACGAACAGGCAAAACGCATAAAAAGTTTCCCGTTTTTGGCTGAAAACGTTGTCGTGTAAACGGCCCCATAGAGTCATGTTGAAATTCTCAATGTGAAAATGAAGATACAAATCAACTGTCTTATCTTGATGGTCTTCGCACGATGTCACTATTATGTAAATCAGTTTTAACAAGACCATTTTCATTGATGCTTATCTTGAGCTTTCAAATATCTGTACAGGGTCTACAACCATCAATGTTCAGAGTCAACTACACGAAGGTGGTGGATCAGATGTTTTCTCTCTTCCCTGACGAAGATCACTACTCAGACGCCGGTCCAGATCGCTGCAGAACCTGTGCTGTGGTGGGAAACTCTGCAAACCTTCTGGGATCCCATTATGGGTCTCTCATAGATTTCCATGATGTTGTGATCAGGTAGGCCTACTAGAAGAACAAAAAAATACACAATAATCTGATAAATGTTCTCTATAACAGTAGTTCTTTAGATAGCCTATCAACACCTGTTACTTGTATTGTTCTCTCAGGATAAATAAAGGCCCGACAAAAGGTTACGAGAGGGATGTGGGCTCTAAGACGACTCACCGGATTCTGTATCCCGAAAGCGCCATGGACTTAGACAACTCCACCCATCTGGTGCTTTTTCCCTTTAAGATTCGCGACATGCAATGGCTTATAAGTACCTTCACCACAAGACACATCACACGGTGAGCACAGTTTAAAAAAACAATGAAATAAATATGAAATAATTATATATATCTGCATAATTAGTAAGCCATCTTTTTGTTCCTCAGCACCTACACACGAGTCAAACCTTCAATCAAAGCAGATGAGAACAAAGTGAGTATCCAATGTCATTAAATGAATGTAAATGAAATTCGAGACTGATTATTAAGCCTTAAAATAAGCAGTGGTGTATGTCTCATAAATGTTTTTGTTTCTGTTTAGGTGATGGTCCTCCACCCTGCTTTCATAAAATACGTCTATGAGAAATGGCTTCTGAAACATGGCAGATATCCATCTACTGGCTTCATTACAATAATATTTGCCTTGCATATCTGTGATCAGGTAAAACTGTTTGAATTTTCAGTTTAGACTTCTAATTATATTAACAGATGTTAAGTTTGTGAAAGGCACATGATATATTAGAAAACAAAGCCAAGGGTGCACATAAAGCAGAAATGTGAATATTTGCCTATTAATTTCCCTAAAAGTGGCCCTAAAATAATTTGCATGTGCACACAAAAGTTGATCTTAACAATGGCCTTCTTTTTAAATAACATCAAAGTATCCACAGATATGTTTTATGTCACAAACACAACATTGCCTGGCATTCATTTGTGGGTTTCCTGTACATTGTAGATAGTTTTCTTTGGATCTGTGCATTGCTGCACACATTTGTGGATTTTAAAACATTTCTAGCATCAAGATGCACACTAATCCACAAATAGGTAGACTCTGCCACCATCTGCTTAAGCCAATCAGATAACAGCCACATAGTGCTGACCAACTGTAGCACGCTATCACTCAAACCCATCATGTTTTGCATTATAATCAGGGTGAGAGCAGAGTCAGTATCCAACAAAGGCTGCGTTCCAGTCAATCTTTTATGCCCTATTGCCCTTCACTCGCAAACTTCCCTCCGACTCGTTTACTCAGATGTACGTCATTGATTACGTTGCATGAGTGCCCACTACTGGCAGAACCCTTGGAATGGACTGAATTGACCTATCGGTAAGCCCCGCCCCCCTTAGTTACTGTTGCTCCCTCTGACAAACAAGTCAGAGGGAGTGCTGAATGCTTACGGACATTTTGCTCTGTTTTGTTTGGATTTAGGAAATGTAATAAAATAAATTATATTGCCCATCCTCCCAGGATACCTGGAATCAGTGTTACAAGTACCCCAGGCACATCGTTTTTCCATTTTTGTAGCATAAACACCATCAAACCGATGCGAGCTTCGGATCTTCCAATGTTTCTCTATGGCGCTGAAACCTAAAGATGTCAGAGTTCCGCTCCCCGTGCAACTGATACTCGACTGCCATTGGCTCATCTGTGTTCGAGGGGAGGGGCTTACCGATAGGTCAATTGGAACGTCCTAAACCAGGGGTGCCCAATCCTGTTAGATCTACCTTCCTGCAAAGTTCAGCTCCAACTCTTATCAAACATACCTGGACTAACTAATTAGGATCTGAAAGAGCACTTGATAATTACAGACAAGTGTGTTTGATCAGGGTTGGAACTGAACTCTGCGTCCCGTACAGGGGTGTGTTTCCCGTACAACGACATAAATCAATGATTAACCACTATAGTACGATGCATTGTTATGGAAACTTACTAGCCAGTCACGACTGTTTCCCGAACACGGTCGCATCGCCATCGTTTGAACCACATTAGTTCAACAATTTAGGGTCGTTTTTAATGACGTCACACGCATGTGGTGGAGTAATAACTTCTGCTAATTAATTGAATCAAGATTTCTGAGATGCTGCTGCATTGAACATGGCACCTGATGACTAATTTACTATGTTTGTTCCCTGTCATTTTGCTTTATTTGATGTTTGATTCATCGCGGGTTTCCTCTTATGTCATACTCCGGGGTTCCCTTAGGCATTTATGCACATGTGCACTCTTCAAAAATGGCGCTTATTGAGGACGCGCTAAAATTTATCGATTAAAATTTATAATGTATAAAAAAATATATTTAAATTGAATGGAAGATATAGATTGTGCTGCATGTAAGCTGTCTTATTCACTGGCTTTATATTGCACACTCATCCAGGCCACGCAGAAAAAAAGGGTCAAAATTGTACCTTTTTGGGTACAACAGATTGTCACTGGAGTAGTACCCTTAAAAGGATATCTTTGTACCTTTTTTACCCATAATAGGTACATATTAGTACCTTAGAGTAGTAATTCGTACCCTTAAGGTACTAATATGTTGGCAGGGCTTGAAAACGAAAAAAAAAAAATTTTCAATAGGTTCACTCAGAGCAGAATCGTTATTTTAACGTTTCTGTTCCTGCGTTCCTCTGTATTATTACCGTTCCAAAACCGGTTCGGGTACACTCTAAAAAATAATTCAGTGGATCTGTTGGCATGCTATTTCAATCAGAAGGCATTTGATTGAAAATGCTAAAAGATTGGTTTTCTGGCAGCATTAAGTGTTGTTTCATCAAAAAATAATATTTTAGTAGTTTTT